CAGGTACGAACAGAAGAGTGAAACACAGGTGGAGACAGAAAACAAAAACAAAATCTTAAAACAACAGTAACAACAAAAAACCCTCCAATAAAATCCAGGAAAAAAAATATTTTTAAAATGGCCCCTAGAACTGTATTTTAAGCCATAAAACTCCTGCTCTGGCTCATTCTTCTTTGACTCACAATTTTACGTCATCCACACACAGATTTGCAAGAGACACGTGACTTCTGAGATTCAAATGGCTTTCCAAAGGCACCCAACTCCTCATAGTGAAACAAAGACTCTTCCGGTGAAGCGCATGTGGAGAAAATTCCCGAAATCCAAGGTTAAACTGACGGATAGAATGTTTGTGTCAGAGCAGTACAAAGGGCTCCATTCCAGAATAACACAAACTCTGCATTACGGTATATTGTCTAGGCAGTGTAAACCAAGCTGAATTATACAGCAAGACCATTTATAAACTTCAACTGAATTAAAGCCGTGTTCACACTTCACAATACTCTGCAGGGCAGACCCCACGGGAAAGGCTTACACATCTCACCATGCTACAGGGAGCAGCCCACGGACACTTCAGACAAGACCACGTTTTATAAACTTTACACAATGACTTTTCCCAGTAGCAATATGTTCACCTTTCTTTACTGTTCATTTCCACGTTTAATTGTTTGTTTTGATTCAGCCAGTATCGCCAAAGAAAGATTTTAAGTATAAAGTTCTTCTAAAGTCAAGCCACTCTACAAATTTTTTAATGACTTCTAAATTTATCTCACCTCGTTTCTCTAATTATTTTAAGGATCCTAAAATGGACGTGCATCATGAGAAGACTTTTTATTTTCCTAGGGGAGAAAAAAAGTAATAATTGTGTAAAAGAGAGCCTGTCAGTGCAGCAATCAGCAAAAGAAAATAGGCCAAGTTCAAGAACATACGAAGGTAAGTTAGAGCTTGTTTTGAAAGAACACCTTTTATTCCATTTTTCCACTCATAATAGAAATTTGCTGCTCTAGAGTTTCTTATTTTAAGTATGGGAACTAAAGTCTATGTATAGAATATCAATGAAGAGTCTTTTTGCTGTAGTTATTTTTCCATTAAGAGCCATTGACTTACAGAAACATGCATTGAGAGCTATAGCATGTTAAAATCAATTTATGTAAGTTGGGTGTGCACAGCTTTTTAGATACAAGTTAGTTTGAATAATTTTACTCATTGCCTTTAAAGTTAAGAATGAGTCATATAAAATTATTTCAGTAAAAGCCACAAACAATAGGCAAGCACAGTGGTGTGCTATGTATAGTTTATAAATAAGAGGATGGAAGCAAAGGGAGGAAGTAGATGAAAAACCAACGGGAAAAGGAGAGGAGGGAAGGGTTAGCAAAAGGAGGATGAAATGTAAAGTCAGAGAGCCAGACAAAAGCAATAATAAATCCTACAAGGTGGTGAAGGAAGGCCTCTTTGACAAGGTGACATCTGATCTGAGACCTGAATCTTGAGAAGGAATGTTCTCAGCAGAGGACACAGCAAATGAGAGGTCCTTGCAGCAGGAATGCGCATGGCCTAGTCAAGAACAGGAAAACTTGGGTGACTGGAGCCAGGAAGCCGAAGGAAGATGAAGGAAACGGTCAGAGAGTCAGACTTAGGCCTTTAAGACATGCAGGGTGGGGGAGGGATGACCTGGATTTTTATGATAAATGCAATACAAATCCATTGGAAGATTTTAAGCAGAAGGGTGATATGCTCTGCCATACACTTTTTAAAAGGTCATCTGGCTGCTTTGGGGGAAAGGAATTTAGGTAGGAAAGACTGGATGTAGAAAGACCAACTCAAGACTAAGAGACAATAACTGAATCCAGAAAAGAACTGGTGATGGCTTGGTCCAGGGTGATAACATTGAAAATTATGGGAAGTGGTTAGATTAGAAGGATCATTTGGGAGTAAAGCTAATAAGACTTGGTGTTAGAGTTGATGTGAAACAGACAATCAAAGATGTATCCTGGGTATCTGGACTAAGCAACTGGGTGGATGGTGGCACCATTAATTGAAATAAATAAGACTAGAAGACAAGTTTTGCGGAGTGGAAGTGGGAATCAAGAGTTAAGTTTTGGCCTTGTTAATTCTGAGATGACTATAACACATCCAAGCGCAGCTGTAGAAAGACAACTGGACATGTGGTCTGACACTTGTTGGCAAGATCTGAGGGAGGCGCACCTTTGTACTTATCACCATACATCATCTCATTTAATCTGGTAACCAACAAATGTGGTGAGGTACACAGAGTAAATATTATCCCCATTTTCCAGAGGAAACACTGAGCCTCAGATAGGTTGAGTTTACTAGAGCTGCAGCCACAAGTAAATCACTGAGAATGGAACCCCTCCTCCAAATCTGGTACCCTTGCCACCATGCTGTACAGAAACTGAGGAACACATAGACTGCAACACGAGAGTGGCTAAGAATAATCCAAAATTAGCATATCAGAAATTTACTATTTTGATTACACAGTTATTGATTTAAAATTTGGGTACCAAAGTCAACTATCGCCATCATTAAGATACTCTATGATCTATTCATTATCCCTTTTCCGAACTTAGAATGAGGCAAGTGTTTATAAAAATTGTGTAAGACTTTGAAATGGACCAAAAAAAAAAAGATGACTGTGTGGCTTGTCTAGTTCATCTTTTAGGTTATCTCCACCTTTTACTGTCCTTGAGCTATTTTACAATAGTTGCACAAACAGAAATAGTTGTAGAAAACTGATAGTAACACAAATGATCCTTTCCATAGAAATGCAAATTGTGTTTGGTGGCGACGCAATCGATTATTGCTCTGCAGATTTTGGCCACTGTTGCATCTATTTGTAAGTTCACTTCAGGGTTTCTCGTGGCCTCTGGATGTGTTCTGAATGCTCTTTTGAACTGGTTGTTCACAGCTTTTTTGTTCCTTCGTTAATTAATTTGTTAACTAAAATCTTTGACAGGCATTCACTTCTATTTGTCTTAGGGTGACGATTTTAACCCTTTTTAAAAATTATCCTTTAACATAGGTCTACTTTTTAATATTAGAAATTCAGAAGTCCTTTTTAAAGAAACATTCCACCCCCTCCCCCCCACCAATTTTAAAGGATTTGTTCTTGTGAAAAGGAAGTACTGACATTTTAGAAACCAATTTTGGAACTTTAGAAATATGAGTCAATTTACCAGCAAATAACTAGTGAGGCTTTTCTGATATTGAGCAGAGTTTGTAAAGACATTATGTCTTCCATAGCAGTATTCAAACAATTATCTATGTGGTTTTGAATCTTCTGCAACTGAATGTCAAAACTGTTTGCTACCCAACCAACCCACTACCCTTCACCACTGACACACACATCCTTCTTTGTCAGGGTGAAAACATCAGTCTACTTCAGAACACATCGTCTTTGTTCAATGAAGAGTCGCTTGAGTGTCCCCTTTAGGAACTAATGAACATTTTGCATTCCCACAAAAGCCAACATCTCCTCCCTCCTTGGCATTAGGAACTGGCCACTGAAGATGGAGTTGAAAGATCTGTAAAAGAAGCCCAAATCCCATTGGGGAGAAAAGGCAGAGCCAGAAATTCAAAATTAAAGACCTGTTGGGAAGAACAGGGGTGGGCCTGATCCAAGGTCTCTAAGAAAAGACATCAAGGGTCCCAAAGAGGAATTCAGCAGGAAGTCACTGAGAATCTGTTTATTGCCTTGGGCTCAATACATGGCCTGAGGCTTGTTGGTGAAGGCTGGGTCTGGCACAGCTTGTGCTAGTAACTCCTAAGAGCATGGCCACCTACGGTGGGCTGCTCCAGGAAAACCCTGGCTAAACCTATCTGTGTGAACTAAGAGAATTGTACCCTGGGAGGCCATTCATGGACCATCACCGCAGCCTGTGCAGGGATGGAGAACATGAAGGCATCAACACATAATGGACAAGCATCCACAGGACTGTGCAGGACCAATCTTCAACAGTGACACCATGTGGTAGTAAGGGACAACTGCAATAATGGAGATGGAGCCAATTTCTGGTTCTCTCTATGGCTGACATTTGGAAGCAGAATTGACTGAACCTCTTTGGAGTAAGTAACCCCTCCTCCTCAAGTTTACATACATTTTAGAGGATCCCCTCAAGACTCAGGTATATAGGGGTGTATGTACGTGCAATGAATTAATTGGGAATATGAAAGTGATATTACCACAGTTGTATCTGAAGTGGCTGAACCAGGCTGCACCAGTTATACCATTTCTTCTCAAATAAAATTCCATATTATGTTCCAACTGAACCAGAAGGGAAAATCAAAACATCATAATTGAAAAACAGGAGTTAAATACTTTTTACAGCTTTTCAGCTGCTTCAAGTTGAGTTTCTGCCCCTTCCAAAGGATGGGAGAGTGAAGACAGCAGTAATTATTGTCTATGTTTCAGATTGCCTCTCTCTTGATACAGGTAGGATATAAGCCAGGGGCCCAGCCCCACCAAATCAGACATTCCTCATCCCAGGTCTTCAGACTCAGGCTGCATTCTGGCAATAAGACCAGGACTCAGTGCAGGTGGGCCAATGACCACAGAACTTGGGGCAAAATGCAAGTTATGGAAAACTGTAGTTGAAGACAGCTTTGCTTTTAATGCTGATAGATCTTCTGAGGATAAACAAGATTAGGCTACAAACAGAAGCTTTTGAGGTCTATAAAGAAAGGTCCTAAATAAGTCCACTTTTGAGCCAGCCCTTCAGCTAGGTGAAAGGAGTCCCAAGTCAGAAACCTCAAAATAGACACAGGGGGCTGCCACTGCGGTTTTCACTTCCACAGGACCGAGAGTTGCACTTCCATGCAGATCTCGTGGTTATAGAAAGGGACCCAAGGTGGGAGGGCTGCTGGTCAAGGCTCTCCCCCAGCTCTGCCCACCTGCAGACATAGTCAGGTTGACAGAGGAACTTCAAGGACAGACATTATCCAGAATGAAACTGGCTTAAAGCAAGAAATTCTTAGCAACACCATCACCTGTTCACGCAGACTCAGGGGCCAGCCCAAGATCCGAGTCCCTTTTGTTTTCTTGTGTGTCTTCCAATGGCCTGCTGTCCTCAATCTCTAGAAAACAGAAAGGATGAAGTAGGTACTTCACTCCAGCTTCTCATGTTTTCTTTAATTCCAAGAAGATCTAGATTTTCAGAGAACTCTAGAACTCAAAGCTAGATAAATTTGTAATAATTGAAACAAGTCAAATGCCAATAGTTAAAAATCTTTCTTGACTTTCTGTCTAGAGTAAAGGGAAACCAGGCTATCCTTAGGATTTTTAACTGCCCTAAATCTATCCAAATGGATATGCTGGGGAGCAGCAGATACAAGCACTTAATCACCAAAAATGTCCTCGACAAAGAAAGATCATAATAGGAACTGAACAGGAAAAGAGAGCAGAAGAGAGAGGGAGGGACTGAGGCAGGATGGCAGAGAGAACGAATTCCTCTCCAGGACAATCATTTAAATTGCACCTTGGCTGGTAGTGAAGGAAAGTCAGGCAGTGCTGCAAATAGGAGCTGAGCAGTCAGAAAGCACATCCTTTGATCCCTTTGCGGATTCCAACCCAGGGTCCACATCCAGAACCTTCATCCCAACGTTCAGAGAAAAAACTAATATGAAATTTATTCTTCTAGATGAATCTGAGACAGCTTCAGTTGTAAGTTCCCTAAAATTAAACAAAATAAAGTGTTGCACAGTGGAGGAACATCAACCCTAACTGGAAAAGAAGAGGCTAGCTGGGTGTAGCAATCACTTTGTAGATCTCGGGTCAAGCATCATGAACGCGGTCCCATTCATTTATTCCCTCCCTCTTTCCTTCCTCCTGCTCTGAGTAGCTGACGCTTTTGTGAGAAACATCTAGTTCAAACAGCTAGATGGAAATGCAGACAGTAAAGCAGCCACAGAGCGAGCCTGAGAAAGCAGCCCCACCCCCGGCTCCCTCAACAAGGGTGGACACTGTTGAAGCAGTTGAGAAGCTATAAATAGTATTTAACCCCTGTTTTTTTCTAATTCAATTTTTTATTATCTCTCCTGAAGCCCAGGTAGAACATAAATCTAGAGTCTGGTTGGGGGCATGAGAAAAGGCTTGAGGACATGGCCAGGACCTTGGTCACTGGGCTGAATTCTCGCCTGGTGGAGAGGACAGATGCTGCCAATGAGGACAAGAAAAGAGCAGCTCCTATAGGTACTACGTGCCTGCCATTCACCTGCCTGCAAGAGTGGGATCACCTTGGAAAGCCCCCTTTTAGAGGTGAGAACACTGAGGCTGAGAGAGGTTAACAGCCGCCCACGGACACACATCTAGTTGGTGGTGGGTGTGCACACTGGAGGCAGGTCTCTCGGCCATGAGACAATCTGCTTACATGAAGATGTCTAATAAATGAGGAGGGGACGAGGTCGGATGGCACGGGCTGAACCAAAGGGAGTTCCAGAAGAAGGGGATGGGGTATGCAGAGTGCACAGCTGGTTCAGGAAACGGGAGTCCCAGGGACGTCTGGACATGGGGGGTGACGAGGAGGTTAGGGGCCCTTGATGCTCAGTAGCTTGCATGCCTCAATCATTCTTTCTTTCCTCCAGGTACCTAGAAGAGGTGAAGTACAAGGACAAGGTTGGCTTTTTTCTCTTGAGAATGTAGCTCAGGTTTGAATTTGTCTTCAAGGCTTACAAACAGCAGGATAAGATTCCAGTTCCCTCGTAGTGTCGACGGTGGGGGTGCCTCAGAGGTCCCCTGACACCTGCCATCAGTGAAGTCCCTGAGGCTCGAAAGTCGGGGCGGAGCCAGGAAGAGGCAGCTTGGACCTAAACACAGCAGCTGCTCTCAGGTCAGCCTCTCAACCAGGAGAACTTGGTCCCGCCCCAAAGGATCAAGAAATGGCAAACCTTCTCTGGGCCCTCAAACTTGAAAAAATGTCACATCTGGCTAAAACAATCAAGAAAGCCCTTCTATGCAACAGACAGAATGTTCCAGAGGGAGAGGATTCCTCCTGCGCTACCCACCTGGAGGTCCTCTGCCACTTTCAAGAGAGACGAGTGCCCAGGTCAGATGGGACTTCAGATCTCATTGCATCTCCTTTGACATCAGCCCTGCTCCTCAGGCCTGTGGCCATCACTCCCAGGACAGTCCTCACTCCCCCTCCTGGGAGGGGGCCGAAGCCGTGTGGACCCTTTATGGGCAGACAGGCATCTGAGGAGTTTGTGAACTGGCCTCCATCGTAAGGCGAGCTAACGTGGGGGTCCCGGTGGGGTCACCACCTGCACAGGAAACTACTTAGGGACATTTTAATGCCCTGGACAGTCGGAATCCACTTACCTTAGGCAAACTCCTTATAAGGAAACCCCTTTTTAGAATCAAAGAATCACAGGATTTTAGAGATGAAAAGTGCTTGGTGTTTGTCTTGTGTAGTGCCCACCTCAAAGCACGCTCCGAGGAATCAAGTGCTCCTAAAAGATACTGCCCGGCAGGGGGCTAGGCAGATTCTCTGGGTGAAAGGACTCCTTTGAACACCGTCCACCAGGCAGAGCAAGGCGCACTCGATGGGAACACACAGACGGTGTATTTCCCTGGGCACAAGCTAGCCTCCGAATGCCAACTAACACTGCAGGCCCCGGGGAGGCCCGAGGGAGGGTCTCCTTGCAGCCTGTCCCTGAGCAGAAGTCCCCCACAAGGGTATTGAAAGGGGAGAGGCAAATGACCTGTGCAGATCCGAAGTTCCAGAACTGCGTACTCCCTGCTAAGGAAGTGTGGGATGCCCAGAACTCAATTATAGTCAATCCAATTATTTCAGGCCCAAGCTCCAGTGCCAGGTCAGGGGGCAGATACAGAGATTTCCTGTCCAGGAGGCCCCAGAGACCCCAGTGTGCAGGAAGGGAGGGCCCCAGCAACAGGCCACAACTGCTGAGACCACGCTGGGGCTCTAGGAAGAGCCCACCCTGCCTGGCTCTCCTCAGGGTCCTTGGCCCCACGGCATCCACTCTACTCACTCCCACTGGCCTTGGCTGTCTTCTGGGTGTCCTTCTGTTGGTCCCTCCCCTCATCCACTTTATTCCTGCACCCTCCCCTCTCTTTGGCAAGCCTACTGAAAGGCCAGGGAAGGTGTCCGCCGGGCGCTGGTTCTGGGGAGGGAAAGCCCAAGAGAGAGACTGGAGGGGTGAAAATTCAGCAACTGCTTGATGCGCAGTGCAAGGGGCAGGCGTCAAACAGTGTCCAGGTCTCCAGCCTGGGTCGCACAGGACACAGCGATGCCCTCAACAAAGATGTGGGGGAGCAGGCAGGAGGAGACATTTATGAAGGATATAAAAAGTTAGCACGACAGTCCCAGAACAGCTTGGATCCGAGGCACCTATCTCCCACTTCTGAGCAGAACTGACTCCTTCCCTAAGGGCCATCCTGTCCTTGTCACTGCACCTTCGTGCCCCAGGGCCAAACTACTTCAGAATGCTTCCGGAGCAAGGACATCAAAATAGGTTATAAAGTATATTTTGGGAAGAAAAAAAGGTTAATTCTTCTTTTAGTACTTACAGGGGAAAGCACTGTCTTGATCTGAAGGAAAAAAAAGAAAGATGTTCTAGCCAAAATTGAGTGCAACCGTGAAGGCGCCTGAAGCTTGTTTCTCTCTTGACACTGACTTGGCCATCAGTAATGAAATGGGGCATTTTGTAACCTGAAAACTGAAGTGATTATTTAAACACTTTCCCGGGCTGCTGATTTATCTGCCAAGACAGAAATTCAGGGTGGAGGAAGGTAATGAAGCAGACCTGTGTCTGCCGCAGGATGCACGTGAGCAGGACTCGCAATCTTGGCCCTCACCTCCCTCGTGTGTGACATAGGAATATAAGTCCCTATCCTGCAGGGTCTTTGTGAGGCTTACGAAGGCAATGGTGACCATAACAGCTGGCTTTGACTGGGCTGGCCAGGCAGTGGGAGCTATTCCAGAAGCTTTACATGCGTGAACTCAGTCATCGCACACAGCGGCCTCAGCGGTGAGTCCAGAGTCCCCATTTCACAGGTCCTGGGAGCCTCCTGAGGAGGGTGGGAGTCGGTCTCCTGGAAAGCTCCGCACAAGACTATTTTGAGGATACAACAGTCTGAAATTATAAGGTGGAACCCAATATTGAGCAAACAAGAAATGAAGTGGAAGCCACGTTCACTGTGCAGGCACAGCGGAAGGATTCCTCTCTGTGCTCATCCCTCTAGGGTAGTTTGAAGACCCAGCATCCCGGACAGACACCACTCGCCTCGGAAACCACAGCGCTTGCAACCTCTGGCCCTCTGACCGCTCTGGGAAATCATGTTTACTGAAATCATGGCTACTTTACTGTCACTTGACTTGTCCCGGCCTCATCCTCACTTTTCTTCTGGATGAGAAGCCCCCGGAAGGCAGCACCGTGTCCCACACGCCTTTGAATCTCCATAATAGGTACCCTGTATTAGATGCTCAATAAATACTTGCTGATTTAAAAAAATGTATTTGAACATATTGAAAAGATTCGGAATGAAAGGAACTAACAAATTGGAAGTTCCTTTGCGAAAAATTCACATTTGCAGTGCAAAGGTTAAACGTCCTAAATGGGGTGAGGCAAAGCTAATGCTCTCTTTGGAAAATCATTGCATATGTTGCAAACATCTTCCTGTGCATTTGCTCCAGCTGCTAAACTCAGGCAAAAGCAGGCCTGGCGATCTTCTTCTTCCTGGATAACTTGCTCAGGACTGACGCAGAGGAGCCCTCTCTTTGAAAGGGAACCGAATGCAATTAGCAGGATCTTTTGCAGAAGCTCTCAATGGGAGCCGTCTTTCTGAACAGGAAACGGCATGGCTCCCTTCCCCCTCTGCAGGCTGAGAGCTCCCGCCGCAGGCTTCCCGCAGGTTTCTAGCTTGCCGGGTAGGTTTGGGGGAAGTCGTGAGGTCAGCACAAGGAAGGAGGAAGTGGAGAGCAGCAAGGAAGTTGAGGTCGAGAGATGCAAAAGGGCCTCCTTGGTTTTCAGACTCAGACCTGCCCTTCACCAGCACCCTGCAGTCTCTCCACAGAGAACCTCACCTCAGGGCTTCACAGGTGGCTCAGCTTTGACTCAAA